TCCAACAGGCTCTATCTCAAAACCTCCTCATTTGTCTAACATATAGTGCTGGTGTTATAAAGGATTGTTCCCTGTCAGGCAATGCAAACAGCCTTGAGTAATTCTGTCTCCTCCTCTTTCATAGCCTGTCAAATGTTGATTTGTTATTAAAGCTGGCATTTATTCATAATAGCAGGTGTGGTCGTCCATTGCAATGGGCCTAACTGGTGAATTATTGGAGGTATAATCATCTCTGTCTTTGTGTCTCATTTCTTTAGCTAAGAATTGCAGTTCAATTCGATATAAAATTCACATCTGTAGATATTCAAAATACTGCAATTCAAAATACTAACTTTATAGTACCTTCACTAGCTTGCTGTATTGCATATAAACTATATTGATGTCTGAAAATCTCTACTCTCATGAATTGGTTTTATTTACAGAATTGCATTCTGATCTCTGTCAGAAACAACCACCCCATAACTGGTTTGTTTATAATATAGACATTCTTCACTTTACGACCTACCTGTTTACTGACCGCCCAGACTTACGACCAACTCTCTGTACATTTACTGTACATCTATTGTACATTGTACGAGAACTTTGGTTGTGAAAACGGCAGCATGGCACTTCAGTGTCAAGCATCTCATCTCGCATCAGCCTTTCTCAGTTTCAGTCTTGTTCCTACAGTCACTCAGTATTCACTACACTCGTATTCACAATCTCCAAGACTACATATTTCATCTATAAATTTGTACATTATTGTGCACCCCATAGTACAAGATGTTTATTACAGTATAGAGTACACTACTGAATAAACATTTATAAATATGCTAAAAATATTACAAATGATGCAAAGGTAACATTAAAATAATATCTAAAGATTGTTGGCACAAACCCACTACCAGTACAGCATGCCTGAAATATCGGTAAGGGGCGGTTCCTCGGTTATCCACCAATTCACTTAACAACTTGATCGTAGGAATGGAACTTGGTTGTTAAGTGTGGAGTGTCTATATTGAAAATAGCTTTTCATCTTAGAACAATGCATGTCATCTTTTTGAAGGATTTAAATCTGATCACAGCTTTGCCGGTACAGTTTTCCTGTATCCAGTCACACAACATGCAATTACTAAGAAAAAAAAAACATTTTGCCATCATGGCCAGAATAGGATAAACAGACTCATGAACCTTCCACCAGGCAAGTGGGTTGGAATCGACTGAAACACATTCTTTTGCCATGTAGACATACACTTCCTCCCTCAACTGCTGCTTCAAGTCAGGCTTAACTCCTCTGACCAGACTGAAAAAGTGGGTCAAAAAGTTCAGCCATGGCTGACGTCTTTGTAGGAGGGGAAGATGCTGGCTGTGATGTCACTGGAGCTGGACTGGCCTGTGAAGTTGATGGGCTGGTATATGTAGTGCATTCACTCACATCCTAGAGTGTTAATTCACAAATAGAAAGATAATTAGTGATAATTAGGTTAATTAGGACAGGAGAAATTATTATGAGGTATTTTCATATATAATATCAACCTTAATATAAAATACATAACACATACCTGTTCTGTATTGCTCTGAATTTCTTTGATGAGATTTTCATAGATTTTTTGATGACAGGCAGGATCCAAATGAGGAAGTTTCTTGATCTTGGATCAAGAGCAGTGCACTTGTGAAGAAAGTCCTGCAGAGCAGGGTCAGAGTATCTGTTTTGCAAGTTTTCACTGATGTCTTGCTTGATTTCTCTGGCAGTAGGAGTGTCGTCATCTTTTTGTTCCATGGACTTTAGGATCATTGTTTTGAGGGGTAGGATCATTGAAACTGATGGTGTTGTTTCAGTGCTCAGTATTGTAGCGATGGTCTTCAAAGGCTTCATAATCTCTATCACCTTCTCCCCTACACTGACCTCTTGGTCACACAGGTTGGCAATCTCCTTGTTTTTGAGGGCCCGCTCTGTTAGAGCGGAGTAGACAGCAGTTTGCTGCTCTACATACCGCTCAACCATGTCATAGCTTGAGTTCCAGCGTGTGGGCACATCCTTGATGAGATGATGAGATGAGTGTTTTGGCAAGTGAAGCATTTCCTGCTTGAGCTCTAAAATATGAGCTGCTGTTGTGCTTCGATGGAAAAAAGAAATAGCTCTTCTGATTTTCCCTAGAACTTTTTTAAATAGCAAGATTCAGCTTTGCACACGCAAGATTCCAAATCCAGGCCTTGTTTTCAGTTCTCCCAGGTA